AAAGAGAAGCATTTCGAATAACTCTACTGTATCGAATACCGTTATTATTCCAATTTTCTTGGTAAACTTTGCCAGCAAATTTGTATACTTTCTTTCGTAAAATAATGTAAATAAGGATACATACAGAAGCGAGAACACATACGAGAGCTTGAAAAATTGTTCCGTGCCTCTGTTGCTTTCGCTTTAACGTTAGTTACATCTAGGCTTTCGTGTATTCGAGCGTTTAGCAGAGGGGAAGACGATCTCGTCAATTATTCAGGAGTTCGTGGAGGCTAACTGCTAGTTCGCCGTGTCCGAGATTTCAGGAAGATTGCGGACCATCCAGGAATTTATGCCGACCGTTAACCATGCGCGCCGTAAAGTCATATAAACTTCAGCTATTGTTTAAATTTTAAACGGCTTCATTACCGAGTGCCTTTCTTTCGCCTGACAGGAATATTACTAAGTTATTTAGGTCGTATACGTGTACTTCAGTCACAATATTATGAAAACAAATACCTTTTTTCAATAGGGTACAAATCCTCGGTTCTACATGAAAAATTATATAAGTGGAATGAAAAGATTTCGTTTTAAAAATATCTATTCTATATCGTATACCTGAGTCGAGTATGCTTATTTCATCCAAGTTTAATTTTATGCTAGCCATATATGATCGAATGCAGATACTGTTTTATGATAATTTTTAAATATTTCTGCAAGAATTTCTTCATAGAATCGCTAATACTTAGTATGACAGGTGAAAATTAGCTTTGATTAATACTGTAGGACTTTATTTAGATTTATTAGAATTAAACTCTTTTGAAGGAAGCTGAATAGTATTATAATTTGATTTAAATTAGACGGATATGATATTTATATTTAGATTTGAGCAACGACAGCTATGGGACAGTGGTGAACATGGGATTAGATGGTGAAGGCGCGAGTCCAGGTGGGGGTGGAAATGGGGCAGGCGGGGGCCCTCCACGTGGTTATTTGGGTGCAACGACTCCCCCTTATCTCTCAACGTCCAGATCACCGTCCTTACCACCTCAATTTCCATATCCACCGGATGCTGGCCTCTCCGTCTACACTACCCTCGGTAAGTGAATATTTTGTTGTTATATCACTAAGTGCTTCCATATATTATATCACAAACACCCCATTCTAATCGGAATACCGAATTTTTCTCCTGGTTAAAATTTTTCTCCTCGGTTAGAAAAATATTCTTCTCCAATGGACAATAAAATACATAACTGAAAAAGAATTGTACAGAACTCGATAATTTAATAATATATTTGGTCTGATTAAATTTACAATCACTAATATTAATTCCAATTGATGATACCGAATCACAAAGAGATTTGTGTTCACATACCACAATTTTACTAACCAACGATATAATTAATACATCCTTCTCTGGATTTTCAGTGCAATTATTATCATACCTTTTCCTCCATTTCAATTACCTATAAAAAAAAAAAAGAAAAATATCATGAGATTACTAAAAGAATATTCCATATATTCCATATATAAATACTTAATTGAATTAATAACGAAGCAAAATCGATATTAAAATATTAAAGTGAACAAGGGAAACATACCGTGAAAAAAATGGAAGGGAGAAATTTGAAAGGAGCAATCGGACGATGAATGTTGCAGGAGGTACAGGTGGTATGGTACCAGGACCAGCGTCGGATTTGAGCAACGAATCGAGCGGAGGTGGTGGAGGCGGCGGAGGCGGTGGTGGAGGTGGTTACCCGGACTTTCCACCCTCGCCTGATTCATGGCTCGGCGAACCACCACCTCCACACGCTCACCACCATTCCCACTACGCCACATAACCCGGCAAACTGACGCGTTGCCAAGCATCGTTCGGAAGAACGGATCGGCGCAAGGCGTTCACCTGACGACCCTTTTCCATGAGGCAGGACTCACTCAAAAGACTAAGCCTTCCATCAGATCAGCCTGTCCACTCCCGTCGATCGTCGACGTTACATTCTCAGGCTCGCATCTCGAGAGGATCTGGGTGTTCTCGGTGTATCACCAACAGATCCACCCAGCAGCGGAACTCGATCAAGTCTGAGGATCGAGCACCGTCTAGAGCCAAGGAGTCATTCCACACCTTACTCTGCACCGTCCCGGCGGGTTTCCCATCATCGGAATGACGCCATATGTCGCTGTCGTATAACGTTACATTTATAGCGCACGTACGATACGCATTCGATAGGTACGATTAATCTAAATATATTTATGTACAAGTTCCTCGTTTCCCGGTACTATGGAGTTTAATCGTCGAATAAAGAAACACTAGAGATTAGTTTAGACGTGTCGCGAGACCGGACGTTCGCTCGAATCGATGTGATCCGAAAGAACGGTCGATCGTAACTGACCGTTTTTCGATTGTTTTTCGAACGCGTACGTATATCCGATTACTTGTCGAAGACGTCGAGATATTTCGATGGACGGTAACCTGTCAAGAATCGACACTCGTACCAAGAGACCATTCGCGTTGAATAAATCGCAGTTAGAATAGACCGTACCTCAAGGAAGACATCGTTTCACTAGTGAACATCACGGGACACGTTTCTGTGGTATACCGCGCTTACGTGACGCTAGAAGTTTCAAGTGTCGTTTATTGTAAATAGTTGAGATTAGATTCTATCGTACTAGAGTAAGAGAAGGAAGGAAAAAGAAAGATAGGAAGAAAGCAGGAGGAAAGAAGAGGATTGGCGTACAGCGATCTCTACAGGAGCGACGCCGTCCGCAAATAAAATTCAAAATAGAGGTTAACCCTGAAACACTAATGCATTTTTCGTATCAACGCTCGATAAATCGATTTTCTCGTAAATACAAGATTATGCGAGGTTGTTCCACATTTTTTATCAGTGAAACTGTGACGTTACATCGAATTGTAAAAAGGTTCGATCGAAGAAGCGTGGACTGAATGGTGAACGTTGATTGGTCACGGTATAAACGGTTTACATTTTTCCATAATGATATTGAATGTCGCGCCCTGTACATACGAATTTAACGCTACAGAGTTGGCTAGCTTCGCGACCAATCGGAATCGCTCTACTTTGCCGCGAACCGCTCAGTCGACTTTAAGAAGCAGACGGGTGAAGGTGTGTTGTATAAACAGTTCACGCATATCGAATGTCGCCGTTTCGATCTTCAGACACCTTACAGAAAGTCGATTCAGCAAGCGTGATTTTCAATCGTCAGTGACAGCCAAGTGTGAGTCATTAATTGTGTTGTAATTTATTGCGAAAAGATTACTTCCGATCGGTGAATAGTGGAGCTCCGGTAAGCGGAGAAATGCTCTCCGTACTGACACAACGGTCGATGTATCATAAGCAAAAACAATCGTATAGTTTACACCACGAAATGTGTCAAAGATGTTTCGTAGTCAGTCAGTGTCACAAACGTCAACATCCACGGTTGTCGTTCGAAAGTAACTCCTCTTTTCGCGACTTATTAGATGATCGCTATTCGATTCCGCCAACGTAAACGAGACCGTCAAACAAACATGGCTCCATTGAATCGAGTACCGAACCAACGTTTACTTTGCATGTTTGTTTATCGTTGGTGAAACCGAGCGTCAGTAGATTACACCTTTGACGTGCTCCGCGTCACTTTTTATCGATTCACATCATTGGAAAGCACTGTCGCGAGACATTTCGATCAGTCGATTCCATTTGAACGAACGTTCATTTACGCGGTTAACACTCTACAGATGGAGTTGTTAATTTATTTAAAAAGTTGTATCAGAATGAAAAATGAATTAACCTACGTTTGCTTTCAATACCGAACAAGCGTACAAGTGTACAATTTGATAGATGATAATATCGATTACTACTTCTCTTTTAATTACATATATAGCAATTCGTTACTTCCCTGTCTGTACAGTGTTAACAATTTTAAATAATCAAAGTCATAACGATGTCAATTGTACCCTCGTCTCAACGCATATATGCGCGGTTATGTATAAATTGTATATGTATACGCGAGATACATATTCGCGAAAGCATGCCTAGATTTTAGATGATCGATAATCAAAAGTAACGGATTCAATTGATCGACTCTAGTCTCCGACCGGTGGCTAACTTCATTCGCATGTATAATAATATGAGGCATACTACGTTGATCAACTAAGAAACTTTTTAACGCGTATTCGTTTGAATTTACGACATCGATTTGCAATATCTATTATACATTATTAAATTTATTTTTGGAAAATTCTGTATGCCTCATATTATTGGAGGAATATAGTACTTGAAACATAGCGCGTATCATCCGACAAGGACCGATAAAAAAAGTATATCACTGTAGAATTGTATATACGTCGTCCCCGATTATTTTACCCGCGAAAATTCGATGAATTGAAATTGAAAGGAGAGTAAACAAAAAATATGGTATATTTCGTCGGGTAAGAGAACTGAATGTTGTACAGTTACGAAAATCGAACATGTGCTCCTCACCGGGTTTCGCAAAGATGAAAAGAAAGATTCGCGTGACTAGCGCAGTTCATAACTTCATCGACACGAGTTACTACGGATCTTTATATTATTATCTAGTCATCGAGTGATAATAAAAATTCTATCGTAATCTATACCATGTTGTACTCTGTTTCGAACTTTTTAATTTTAACTACACATGGTATTTTATTTATTCTTCCACCTAATGGGAATTCTATTAATATTCATTTTTGCACCAGACTTTATTCTTTTATTCTATCCTATTATATATTTTCTTATTTGTCCAAATATTTGTGAAAAAAGCTGCAAACATATCTTTGATCTGAAACATCCCATTCTTAGTCAAATATATAATTTGCTTTCAGGTTGTTTATATAGAAAACAGGAAAAAGAAATAAAAAGTTATTCCACTATTGAATAGCAATACTTGTCAACATATTTTATTCACATTTATATGGTATATTTATATTTGTGAGTTAATGGAAAATAGAATCATTGTTTTTAGTTTTTATTATATCCAATAATGTAGCACAAAATAGAGTGGGAAGCATAAACGAAGTAAATTAGGAACTAGTAGGAAAAAATACATTTTTCTTAATCTCGATATTTTTATTCAAATATCAATGGCACTTTATTTGCGAAGACTATGTACAGATGCTGTGTAATGATATCCTCGGTGTTTATATGTACACGCGCGCGAATTTCTGGACGTCGAGAACACGAAATACGATAAAATGGACAGTTTTCGATTCAATGACACAAGGTTGTAATAACCTTTGAAGAGAAGAAACAATCTACAAAAGAACTCGAATACACGTACATAATTATATACAAAAGTCACATATACAGCTCCGTTTCTTCCACGAAGTTTCCATTTTTAACGTCGTTTCATCTCTACATCAGATCTTACTTTTCCCCATTCCTCATGTAACGTTCCTCGTATGTATGAAAATACTTTCTAACAGTTTTTACAAAATACAACAAGCGTTGCTGTCGTTCGTTAATTTGTACAAATACAAATCGTTCATTAACGATTGTTCGAGATTTAAAGTGAATTAAAAAACGTGCGAAAGACAGAATTACAGTAAAAACGCGGTTATAAAAAAATAAACGATAACGTCAATTTTTTAAAATCTATAACGAACAGCGACTTTATATTTGGTTTTCCGTGTATGTGATTTTCTTCATTCATCTCTGTAGCACCTTCAATTGTCCAACGGTTCTTCATATGTCCTTGTTTTTTTTAGTATGCTCTTGGTAATTTGCAATTGTTTAGTTATTGCCTTCTCGACGTTCTTTTTGTTCTTATTCGACGCGGAAAGATGTTGGAAGGTATCCTCCAAAGCTCTCTTCGTTTTCATTAACTTTCTCTTTAACGTTTCATTTTCTTGCTTCAAAGCTTCTACTTCATCGAGACCTGGTAAAATAATAGATTTTATTTGTAATTGAAAAAAAAATATAATAGATTTAATTTAATAAAATAATTTAAACAAGATTTTATAAACATTATAATACAACTTCTGAATTAGATTTTAAGAGCAGAAATAAAAGAAATAAATTAAATACATTTTTCTATAACGATTACCATTGCATGGAAATTAAGTTACCTTCTATCGGCAAAGGACTTTCGCTATCCACTTTTCGAACTGGCCGGTTACCATTGCTGTTATCTTCATCACTCAATAGGTTAGTCATGGATTCGGTGATTTTCAAAGTGTCTTTCAATGGTCTCATTGTTGTAATAGCCGTATCACTTTCAATACCTAAATCTGGCGAACAGCTTGATTTACTGCGTCCGCCTAATGTTGAATAACCTATTGGTAGCCAGTACTGTGAATTCTGAAATATATAACAAATTTAATTTTAGTATAAATTTCAATATGAATAATAGAATTATACTATTTCTATTATGTTTCCAATTTAATATTTATTATCATGGTTAATAAAAAAAACAATACTCATTGTACAGGAATATAAAAAGAAATTGAAAAAATAACAAATGATCAAACTATTAGGAATTATACCATAAATATGAATCCTGAAGTCCTCAGACTTCCAGTAAGTTTCTTCCTCTTAAATTAATTGTTTAACTCGCGACATGAAAATAAAGGTATAGTAAGAACTGATTTCAACTAACATTATATGTTTGATATTCCTGCATGATATCTTCGCAAGTTTGCTTCAATATTGTGTCGGTAGGTATCGAAGAAACACCACTAGAACTTGGCGCTGAATCACTTGCTTCGCAAACTGCAACGTGCCTTCTAAGTTCTTTATTAGTGGCTTCCAGTTCTTGCAATCTTGCCCTTTGCGACTCGTTAATTTGATTCAAATCTGATATCTGCTAGAAGATATAGGTATGATAAAATACTGTAAAAAATTCTAATTCGATCATGGAGAGAACCTTGAATATCTTACTTCTTTGTTAAATTTATCATATACAGAACGAACAGTCACGTCACATCTGCTTTCCGTTTTCCTAACTTCTTGCTCTAAACGTAACTTGTCGTTCGTCAGCTTTGTGTTCTCCACGAGGATTTGACTGTGAGAAAGAGTCAGATGATCGAGCTCTTTCGTTAACGATGATATGTTTGCTTTTGCGGATTCGTTTTCATCTTCCAACTTTTTGATTCGTGTTCTTAACTGAAATAATTAAAAATAAAAATTAGAAAGATATAATATTCGTCTTTGGAGGTAATTGAAAATAAAGGGAATTAAAGATTGAATTTATTACCGCGTCGTTTTCCCTATTAAGCGTTATTAGCATCTCTGCGGTTTTTCTTTCAGCATTGTCTTTGTAATGCATCAGCTCCGCCTTCTGTTTATTCATTTCTGTAGCCATGTTCTCCAAGTCAACCAGTTTCTTCTCCAATTGCGTTCTACGTGAGCAGTTTTGTTTGCTTTCTTTCCTCAGCGTATGTACTTCGTGTACTTTCCTTTCCAAAGCTGATTGCAATTTTTCACAATATTCCTGTGACTTTTGTAGCTTAATGATTAACGGTGCTATTTTTTCATCAAACACCTAAAAATTAAGGAAATATATTTTAAAACAATCTTTATCATAGTATATTATTATAAATTTGAAACGCATCATCTATAAAAATTAGAAATAACGCTTTGACAATAGAACTATTAGTTGAAATAACTAGTTTCAGACTTTTTGTTCTTACTAAGCAAAAGCACTATTATTCACGTATCTAAGAACATACTAGAAGCTGATAGATCTACTATTAAACATTCCTTCTCCTCGATAAAACTCTTATGCCATGCTTACATAATTGAAAGAAGTCTTGGTAGCTGGATCATGCCTAAGGGCACTGAGCTCCATATAGAGTAAAACATTTATCTCTTTGATCTCTTGTATCTGATGATTGACCTCAGACTCGTTCGAGTCATTCTGATATGACTTATAATAAGGCACATATTCCAACGAGTCCTCGGAATCAGTGAACGTCTTGGTGTACTTAGAAAATCTGGATCTATTTAGAGACTTTTGCTGTGTCTCCTGTAGTCCGATTCTAGCCATGGAGACAGTTCTATCAGGCTCGGAGAATGCCTCAGAGTCAGAATGTGCAGAAGCCTGATCCTTCGTTCCACTGACCAGATTCTCCGATCGACTCTTCTTCACCTGATTATCCATCGACCTCACGTTCACTTCAGTCAGGTTAAACGTTAGGTCGTTCGTTGAAATTCCTTCGAGGGCGTTCACGAAATCATCAGACAATATCTTCGAGCTCATCAGAACGTCGAACACGGTCTTGTTGTGCTCGTTGCCCACGGTGTTCGCATGGTCCACGTTATTCAGCATCTGCTTCATGAACTTCACCAAGTCCTTCAGGTGCGTACGCAACAGCTCGCAATATTTCTTAGCTCTCTCCGTCTGATTATCACCATATTCATCGATCTCCGTGGCGATGTCTGGTTTCGAAACTAGCTTCAGCCACTTTAGGTAATCGACTTCCTTCTCTAGCTCATTTTTCTGAGCTACCAGCTTCTGTACATAGTCTGTCATGGTTTTTACGTCTATGGGCTCGTTTCCGTCGACGTAGTTCAGTTGGATCACCTCATTGGTAAACGTTACCTTGATACCAATGTCGTTTAGCTCTTTGATTAGAGTCGATAGCTGCGCGCTGGCGCTTTCTTGCAGCATGTCCGACTTGTTTCGGCTCCTTTCGTGACAGTGAGAGGCGGTCATGTGGTTATGGAGCTTCGCGATCTCCTTGTTCTTGCTCCACAGTTCCGTGTTCACCAGCTTCTGCAGGTTCTGCGTCTTCACTTGCAGCTCCTTCGACAGCTGCTCGATCTTGCGATTCTTCTCCTCGATTTCCGCGTCACGATGTTCAAGTTCGCGGAGAAGATGCTCGCGTTCGGTCGAATCCTCGGCTTCGTTTTTCGTGACTTCTTTCAGTTTGTCGAGTTCTTTCACTTTGTCCTGCAGTTGCTCCTTCATCGTCTGCTTCTCGATTTCTAGTACTTCTATTTTTTGTTCCCTGTCCTGGAGTCGCCCTTGCAGTTCCTGCGAAAAGATTTCGTGGTTATAGTCCTTATACTGCACGTTGCATTCGATAATTTACGTTAATACGTGTAAACGGTTCTATTTCATAGCGAAGAATGTACGAATGTGAATTAGTCTTTAAAAGAATTTTTTAAAGAAAGATAATCACTTGGCCCGAAGAAAAAGTCAATTAAAAATAAGGCTTATTCTACTATATTTGACGAATTCGTGAACAAGAGAAGAACTGGTGTAATCAAATCTTATACGAGATATGTGCGCTAAGATGATCGTAAATAGAATTATTATAATCTGGCCTTAACATAATTTCATATTTTATGCATACAGAAGATTCTATGAAATATAGTAAGAAAAGATTGATCCCAATTTACTTCTCCATTCAAATTCTGTAGCATTTTACATTCATCTACGAATTATTCAGCTCCATTTGAATATAGGAAACAACGACGCAGGCAATGCACTAACTTTTATTGCATTTTCATTGCATTATCTCGAAATTTTTGAAACAGTTAACATCTATCGCATAGAATACTTCAGAATAACCTCGAGAATTCAAAAGTTACCTAACAAGAAAAATCGTCGAACCTCTTAATCAATTTTTGCAATTACCACAAACCAATGTACGCAATACTCAAAGACGATTCAACTCTTTTCGCTTAAGTAGATACACCCTGATACTAACGAGGGTGTACTTTCGAGAGAATTTTCAAGAAATGGCACGATTAAGAGAAAATTACCTCCGACTCGACTTCGATCTGCTTCTCCAAACGACACTTCTCAGCCTTGATGGTCTCTATTTGGTCTCGTAGGTCGTTTATTTTGGCTTCCATTTCGTCGAATCGTTGCTGCACATAGAAAGTATTGTTCTCGTCAATAAAACTCGGAAACAAATCGGTTGGGACGATCGATAAGCTTTATTTGCAAGAACAACTGCGATTACAGAGATGGTGTATGGTACAAAAGTTTGCGTGCGATCAATTTGCATCGAAATCGTGCGAATTATTTAAGCGAGGGAAAAGAGTTTCGCGTTCGTGGAGAACCCATGTGGAACCCCCATGGAACCCCATGGAACCCCTATGGACGGATAATGGAGGGAAAAGCGGAGCAACGTTACATGCTGATTTAAAAATCATATATAGAGATCTTTATGTTTCTTTCTCTTCCTTTTTGCTTTTCAATTTCTTTTTTTTTTTTTTTTAACCTTTGGTTCGTGATAAGGGTATTTAGCTTTTGGGTTTCCTTGACCAACTGCGCGGCGAGACAAGGGTAACGATATCTGGCCCCTAAAAGGAAAAAGACAAATCTGATTTGTAACTTTACTCTGAACCTTAGTTCTACCATCGTTCTGCCGATTAGTTACTCGCAATTTTAACTCTAGCCTTAGTTCTACTCCGTTTCGAGGGTGTAATCGTGTTATGAATAGTTTTATGAAAGCTGATATTGAGAATGATATTGAGAATTAAGAATTCCAACACAGTTTTAGCGATCTTAGGCTTTTTGAAGCTGAAATTGAGAATTGAGAAGCGTGAAAATGGTGTTAATCGATGGACAGAGAAATCGTTTCGAATTTTAAATTGATATTTCGTGTAAGAAGGTCTAGCTAAGCGTTGCAGCGACTAAATATTGATTGTTATTTTATGAGAAATGTAATTCTGAGAGAAAAGTTGATTTTCCAAATTTTGCTTCGAGAAAAGAAAACAAAGTACTCGATATTTTACCCTGGTGTTAGAAGCGCGAAATAATTTTACAAAGAACTTTGACGAATTTCTAAAATTTCGTCGGTTCTTTTAAAATTGATTTTTTCTGCGTGCCTAAAAATGATTTAAATTAATCGTCCCTTATTGGATTAAATTAAAATGAATAATTAAAATACCACTATATTATCCATACCGTATTTAATTAAATATTATTTAAATATACAACACTCGTCAAAAAAAATGATATATATGTATAAATTATGAGAGAAAAATGACTGGCAAAGATAATCTTCGTTTCCCGATACCTCGTGAGGTCACTGGATACACGAAATATTTTCTATCACCCGTAACAGCACGTAAGATTAGGTACTCCATTTCCGGTATTAAAAAAGATCGAACGTCAGTGTTATTGAAAATAACAATAAATAATAAATAATAATAAATCATCGCGATCTTTCCTCCGCGTGAATATTTCAAATTCGGAAAAATTACAAATCCATTTATCAATTATAACGTACAATTTACACGTGGCCGATTTCCAAACCGATCTTCATATATTTATCTCTTCTTTCTTTTACAATAAATAAAAAACACGAATGATAGAAAAACACAGCGAAGCTTTATCGATTTTCCCGGAAAACACTTGTTACACCTACCTCCATCCTCATCGAGGCGCACAAACAGGAGAACATTTTTATCGTTTTTTTTTTATCTTTTCGATTTCCGTTCGATTGCAATTACGTTGAATTAATTCTTGCAAAGATACTCGACGCGAATGCTACGATTATTTCTAGCACTGGCGAATATCTGCGACAGCAAAAGGGCACGAGTACGGCGTTTCTTCCGGAATCGATTTCCGAGATTGTGCAATCAATATCCGATAATCGGGGAATCACGAGAAATCGTCGCTTCTATTCTCAATTCGCGCGTTTCGTCGGCGAAAAATAAACAAATAAAAAGAAGGAACAAATAAAAACTCGCACGTTCTATACCACTCGATCCCGGTCTAGGTCGAGCGTCGTTTTCTTCGTTTAGACAAAAAAAGTTGCACTTTTTTGAATTCGTTTGGTAGCTTCTTCTAAGATCTCATGGAATTTCCGTCGTTCTAATCGTTTCAAGGCAAATGCAAATGTAAAATCGTCGCGAGTTCTCGAGCCTTCCTAAATCGAGGCACGTCGATCGTGGTGGTCGCAGTTTGTCCTTAGTTCGTTTTCTGTTATTGTCGTTCGTCGTGGATGTTAACCACGGTGGTTGGAAACGGTCGAGACGAATTTTCGTGCGAAGACTGCGAGCCGTGAGCAGATCGCGCAGACTTCGCGAGCGGACTGCCTCTATTATTAGACGAAAGGCACGTCTTCGGTTTGGTATCTCGAAGATACGCCTCGCCGGGACCTGCTGTTCCACGAAAGCTACTTGATAACCCGATATTCGAGCACGTACCCCGCTTGTAACACCGTTTCGTTCTGGTGTACAACGGTGATCGGTAATTCGTGCTTGTTCAACGTGGAATTCGTGTGTGGGACGAGGTGCTATCAGCCTGAGAGGTCGGAATTAGGGCTACTGAACTCTTGGCTGCCATTAGCGCAGTTTCCTTCCAGCGGTAATTTTCTCATCTCTCAATCGAAACCTGAATTGTCATTGCTGAGGAAAATTAGGCTAACGAGAGGAACGCGTACACTGACTCAACGGTAAACCTACCATGGTCTAAATAATCTAAGTTATCGTGTTCTAATCTAAGTTGTAAAGAATATTCCGTATTTTATGTTATCCTCTTCCTCGTTTCACTTCATCGGTCTTTTTATGATTTATATATAAATTATTCATGGGCCAAAGTCACGAGTTAGCTCCGGGTTTTGAAATGGTTGAAATTTTGCAACAGAAGCACTTGGTTCATGCTTAGCTTTTTATATTTAAAACGAATTTCTAGGTTTCGTTTCGATTTTCTGAATCGATGAAATGAGATTTTGTCTCTGAGGTTTCCAATATTTTTCTAGTCAGTGTCATTTCAATTTTATGATTAGTTAAATACTACTTTGTAATGTCTATTTACTCTAGTATATCTCACTGTAGGTAATTTGAAAATTTGCTGTGATTTGATTCAGTATCATAGGTTGAGAATCACTGATCCACCTGTTTTATTAATCCAGTTCTTTTACGATTTATAATAATATAAAATTCATATATTCGTGTATTTCGTACGAACATAGTGTTCGTGTAAAAAAATGAATATGAAGCTTTCCAGAATCATAAGTAACGAATACCTGTTTTATCAACCATGACTGATCATTTGACCGGTCATTTGACTGGCCGTGGTTAGGTATAGTGTTAATCAAGTCGAATAAATGAAGACAAGTTTCCTGGTGTTGATTGTGCTTGATTTGATTTGTTGTATTTTGAAGGGGAAATTGTACATAGGGTTGATTGCATTCTGAGATTAGAAATGTACTTTCTTTGCTTCTATTTTTTCTTTTTTCTTTTTAAGGTAATTTCTGGATAATTTCGTTGGTTACTGAGTTGGTGACATAGCAGTTTGTATATATGAGAGGACAATAATAGAGGAATGATCTTGAAAGTAAATTTGGATTTTGGAACCCCTTGGGGAACTGGAACCTTGGACTGTAGCCTAATTAAACTATATATAGATTCAGGCATAGATGTGATTCGAAGCAGAATCGAGAAAATACCGAATCTTTCAGAATATATTAAATTCAAGAAAATTATTACTGTCACAATGAGTCAAAAAAAATAAATAATATCGTCTGCATAATTTCTATCCGTTAAATAATGTATGGAATTTCGACTATAATTAGACAATTAGACAATTCACAGACGCAGAATGAGAAATTAATTTATTCGTTGAAACTTTGACAACAGATTGATACTTTGTTAAAAATATGCAAATGTCTTGATAACTTCTTGCTCTATTTCACATTTGAGAAAGTAAGTCTATTATGCAACTAGCTAGATTAGGTTTCAGAAGATATGTTAGTATGTAAATAGCGAGATAAAATAACGTGATGTAGTATCGTGGAATAATTAATTACTAGAATGACATAAAAAAATTGTACAAAAATTCATTGAATCTTGTCAACGTAATTAAAAAGAAAAAAAAAA